CATGGTTCCAACTTTATGTGATGAAATTAAGTTGGAAACATAACTTCTATGAGTAAGGGTATATAAGATAATTTCATATACATTTTACTAAAGTAAAGCTCATTATGCATAGAGGAAAGGATGATTCAAACGTAATTCTTCAAGTAGTTATAAAACAGTACAATTAAAAATATTTTCTTTGCATCACAAATATATAAGTAATGAATTCTGTATTAAAAATAGGTTTGTAGCAAACCAGGCATTGCATATCTATAAGTATACATAGAGTAAAATTTTAAAATGTATTAAATAAAATCTGCAACAACATATGTTTATCAAAGTCTAAAAATAAGATAATGCATAGAAAATAAGTTTCTTACAAAAGTTTAAAAATAATGAAGAACTTCACAAATAAATGAAATTAATATTATCAGTGTATTTGTTATTAACTTTATATAAATGTGGATCACTGTATTGAAATCATTCTGAAATGCAGAGAAATGTCACTGCCTTATTAAAAGGGAACATCAAATTTTTATCACTGTCATCATTGTGAATATCATATATGTAGCACTTCCCTGAATTGATGCAGATTTCTGTTTGATAGTGCACCCAGTGACACTACTACTTACATTCTCACTATCAGCCACATTTATTTTTAAAATCTATGCACAGCTAAAAAGAAAGAAATGGTAGTTCAGAATTGGGGTATCCACACTAGTGCTATCTTCTTACCACTTCCTAGGAGACAATGCTTTTACCCAGAATAAAACACCTGTCAGCACCAAGTGCAATGCATCAAATATACAGGTACATATTTCATGTTTCTTAATATATGAATAAATAAGTGCATGAAGATTGTAAGACAATAAAGAAGTGAGCTTCCGTGATAGGCATGCTGGTAAAGTAGCAACCTTTCAGTAGGACAAAATTTTCCAGAGCATTATAAGTAGGCATTTTGTAATTAGAGATTTCACATGCAAGGAGATCTTGACTTAGATCTAAGTCTACTGCCTGTCTCACCATAAGACTGAATGAATTGAGAAAAACCTCATAAAGTTGACATGTTCCAGGGAGCACAGCTTTACACAGAGCACTTTCCAGAAGTGCCCATCACATGGACATTCAGCATCATTAAGCATTTCATTCCTCCCTGACTACAAATCAGGGTTTTGTGCAAAGGCTAATCAATGGAGGCATGTACTTAGAGTACTTGAGTTTGACACAGTTTCCTGTTATCAGTTTCTCTCTCGGGGAATTTATGTGTTCAAATAACAATAACTCAATTTATTTTTGCTTTTAATGTCTTTACTTTCATTTCATGTGTTGGCCACTCCCTGTGGATAATGAGAGTTTTGTTAAGGTAAACAAGGAATTATTCAAAGATCTCCCAGATCTCCAGTAAGGACTCAACACCCCAAACCAATGTTTTGCCTCCACTGACACATTCTTAAATATTAACTTTTTTTCTGCCAAAATAAAAAGACATCTCTCCAAAAAATGAAAACCTACCCTACAACCGGACATAAAAACGTCTTCTTACCATCAGAGTGACAGAGTTGTTCTAGTGGTTCTCCCACTAATTTAGTGTTTGGGGCAAATTGCCTACAGGGAAAACATTCAATTTAGTGGCTAATGAGAAATCAACTTTAAAGCAACTCCCGAAGGAAGACTTAAAGAAGAGCTGTCTTTTGTATTTTCCCTTTCCCTGAATATAAAAACCATAGTCACTCATTACTACCCACCTGACCTCATGACAGTACCCTACAATCCTTACAAACGTGGAGAAAGTACTTTATTTTAAAGTAAAAAATCCCCTTAACCTGCTCTAGGTTTTATTCTTCACAGGACTTTTAAACTACTAGTATTTTAGGGGCTTTATTTAGTTAATACCCTTATTCCTTATTATCTGCACACACAAACACGCAACAAATGAAGGCAAGAGCCTTGTTCATTAATATATTTTAAGCATCTTGGCTCACTGTCATCATTCAATATATTTATTTGTCGAGTTAATATATTAATTAATCAAGGAATCAAAAAAATTGGCATTATTCATTTCAAATTGAAGTTTCAAGTTGTTAGATTTTATTCATTATATAAATATAAGTTCAAAAAAGTAAAGGTTTTGATATCTAGATTGTTATATAAGTGCATGCAGGTACAACCTAAATAAAGGATTATTTTCCTAGGCTATAGCTAAATATGCAAAAGACGTCAAGTTTAATTATACTAGGACATCCACATTTTCGTGAAGATATTGATTTTTTTTTTTAATTGAACCAAAGCATAGACAGTAAGAAAGATTGAAATCTCAACCAACTAGTACATTTTAAAAGACATGTGTGTGGCAGGGGGAAGTTACTAGAGATTGAGCCCAATGGCTCCCTACCACTAAGCCACACTGTCAGTACTTTTTATTTTACTTTAAGATAGGGTCTCACTAAGTTGCTGAGGCTGGCCTCGATTCTGTAATCCTCTTGCCTCAGCCTCCCAATTGTAGGGACCTGGCCTTAAAAATACTTTCCATGGTGCTATATCCTGTGAGAAGATGGTGATTTTAGATATAGTATTTGTTTCAGTTGAAAAGATGCTCATCTCAAAATGCTTGTGTTAATAACCAAATGACCCAAGTAATTGGCCAGCATGAATGTGTGCAAATGCAAATTCAATAATGTACTAAATATGTCAAAAAGCTGGAAGAAAGAATATTTTGAGTTTTTGCCACAAGGAAGTGATAACTATTTTAGGAGATAGATGTGTCCAACCTGATCTAAATATTACAGAATGCATCAGGGCTTCCTAAGGTACCCTATAAACATGTACAATGTTTGTGTTTCCATGTATCCAATAAATAATTTAAATTAAAAATCAAAGAACATTCAAAAATTATAAGCTGCAGATAAGCCCAAGAATTTAAGACACTGAATGTGCTAAAATTAAAAAAAAAAGAAGGCAAACAAATAACCCACATTCAAGAAAAGACAAATAAAAACAAAGTATTACAGGGACAATATTTTGTTGTTTCCGCCTGCACTAATAATGCCTAGTTCTCCATTTCCTCTTCCATAGGAGAGGAATATAGTTTAGATAAAGGGACTTCTATTTAAGCAGGAAAGAGGGTGAGACGGATCATTAAGTGCAGTACGTTAAAAACAACAGAAAAACTTCAGGGCACCAAATTTGACCTGTTCATTAGACGCTTGTTTTTACTCTTCTGACCCTTCATTCCTCCCAACAACCTTCTTAAAGCCCTGAGGGGCACTTGGGAGACTCTGGAAGGAAAGTGCCTGTGGATGGTTCCAGTGCCTGACATTCTTTTTCTCCAGGAGATGCCACCACAGCTATCAACCATCAACCTTGACATTTGTCCCATTTCTTAATATCAGATATAATTTGAGTATTATTCCCAGCCATATAGCACTTTCCAGATGTATAACAGATGTAACAAATAACAAAGTTCTGTAAGTAACTTTCTCAAAGATGAATCTAAGACCTCAGCATAATAAATCAGGATGGAAGTTAGCATTCAAAGCACATTTGAGTGTAACTTTGAAGCAGGAATGGGAAGAAAATAAAAAATTCTTTGTCACTGCCTTGATATGTAATTCAAGACACATTTTTTTTACTTTAAATTCTCATTTTAATATTAACTGGCCAGTGAATCTTATGCTCTTTCTAAATATGTCTCTATTTGCCTAAAGAAAGTAAAAATTAAAGGCTTCTTAACTACCCTTTAAAATAAACCTGGGGTTTAAAGTACCTCCCAGGAGCACACTTTTACCTGACTGATATTTTCTGGTATTCTTTTATTAACTGAAGAAGGGGCTAGAATGACAATAAGCTTAAGCACAAAAATGTTACCAGGGCTGGCAAGATGACTCTCCGGTGGAGAAGTACTTAGCATGTTTGAGGCCCTGAGTTCATCTCCAGCACCAAGAAAAAAATAAAATAAAATGAAATAGTTAACAAATTGAGAACTGTTTCATCTACCTGCTGTAAAACACAGAATTTAGCTGTGTATACTGCCACCTACAATTCACTGAAATATAACACCTCAGAAAAAAAGGAGGAAATTCACAAACATTCCTAACACAACACAAATTCAGCAGGGACAGGGGGAACACCAAGCAATTTAAGACAATAATATTCAATATTAGTAAATAGATGCATATTTTCCTTTATTCATTTTATTCACAATTATTAAACTTAAAATTGTAACACTTATTACATGTTGGCTTTTACATGCAAAACTCTTCTTCAAATGTAGGGTTTCAAGGCAATAGAGGTGTTCCTGTAATCTGAAACCCAGGAATCAGATCCTATGTTACCAAGCATGCCCTTAATTTAGGTATAAAAATACTACAAAATTATGACACTGAAGCTAAACTCAAATTACTACTAACTTTTAGGAGAGGAACTTTTTTTTTGATGGAGAAGCATTTGTTTTAAAAGTATAATAAATTTTCTCATCTTGGCATAGCTTAATTCTGACATGCTATTAAAAAGAAGGATAACAAAGGTCATTAGACATTTTAAAATAAGCAAAACATGTGTTCTAGGTTGAATACTCATTCTTTGCCTTTCTGAGATAAACATAATCTAATGTTTAAATTCTAGAAAAAATGATGCTTAATCACATAAAGACCAATAAACCAATACACAAATAAATGAAGAAGCAAACAAAAAACTTTTAGAAAAATTGTAATGTGAATTTTGGTAAGAAATAAATGACTATTAAAAAATCAGTAACTTAGTTTTCCAGCCATTAGAGAACTTACCAAAGCTATCTATGTATGTTTAAGTAATAGATCTCAGAATTCAAAAAAGATCTGCTCTCTAATTAAACATCTTTTCAAATGAAGTAATAATAATTTTTTTAAAAAAAGTTTTGCTAGATTCTCTGGGATCTCACAACCAAAAGCCAGAATTTTTTTCAAAAACTCCTCCTAATGAAGAACACATAAAAAGGCTAACAATCTTAATCCCCCTCTCCCACATCAATGATAAAAGGGGCTTACATTTTCAAAGAGATGGTCCGAAATTTTCAAGCCTCAGTTTCGATTTCCAGAATTTCCATCAGTCACCATCATCAGTAGTGAAGAGAGCTAGGTAGGAGGGAGTAACTGTATCCTGGGGAAAGCGTCCCACTTCTCATGTCCTTCAGGTATTTCTGGGTTGTGTTGTTGTATTTGTTGTTGTTGTATTGTTGTTTTGTTTCCTCCTGCCACAGGGAGTAGTGCTGAAAGGCACAAGTTTAAGCATTGTTTTAAGAAACACACCAGGAGTGATATAAATATTTGACACAATATACACCTAGTTTTCCCACGGTTTCATAATTGTATCTAATACTCAAAGCCATCTAGAATTCTTTGCTGTATATTGGTAAACTAGCAAAACCAGTCTTCCTTCTCCCCAGCATGTGCAAGTTCTCCTCTGTTAACAAAGGAAACTTCTATATATGGTATCATCTAACTTTGTATGATTGATTTTCTTCCAAAGAGCTCTTTCTATTATATTATGTCCAAAAGCATAGTTTAATTGCAATGTCTCTTCTTCCTAAGGCACGTGTATGTGTGTGTGAGTGTGCATGTGTTTTACATTTCCACTTAAACCCTTTCACTCTTGCCAACAAGCTCAACTTAACCTCCCAGAATTATTCTCAATCTGGTATGTATAAAATGATCACTAGCTGAATTGCAAAAGTAAGTACTTCCAAACTTCATACTACCTAAACTACAAATAAGCAAGGTTAGCCATCAACAGGGGTGGGGGTGGGTGGAGGACAGAAATTACTTTTTGGTTATTGGCCAATAATCCCCACCTTTTTTTTTTTTTTTTTGGTGGTGCTGGGGATTAAACCCAGGGCCTTGTGCATGCTAGGCAAACATTCTACCAACTGAGGTATATTCCCAACCCCCCAATAACCTCTTATTGAATGGAAATATCTCCATTTCAGGAGGATCAAGAGCACAGAGTGAGAGGACAGACTGTGTCCCTTCTGGCTTGCAATTACAGACATCACTTTGAATCTACCCAATCGACTAACCTTTCTTTATAATTTAGCCCTGCAATATATTTCAAAATTATATTTCCTGATTCCATCTAAGGCAGCATATGCCCTGTGATTTCAGACACATTTACTGTTAACAGGTGACATTCTACTCTCAGGGGATTAATTCTTAGCATGTTATCATGATCTTGCAAGAAGAATAAAGGAATCAGAATAGTGGCTACTGTACCTACTCATTCATATTTAGACATTCAACATAGTATATATGGAGTACAAAATAATTAGAAAACAAAAGAACATCATAGAATGATATATTGCTGTTGACTAGTGGAAATCTGGAGAGCTTCATCAAGTGATTTAAACACATGCATAATAAAGTATGGTGAAAATTTCCAGCTTATGTAAGTTTTCATGGGGTTTCTGAGTATACACCATTGGGAATATAGCTTCTGGAACTGAATTTTTATGTTACAAATATCTATTATGACTAACAATATCCAAACGTTTAAAAGTCCAGCATTCATTCACTTAGCACATCTTAAAAAAAAAAAAGTATTACTTACAGGGCCTACAACTCCATAAAAAATGCAACTATTCCACTGAATGCTAGTTAGATTCCTTGGGTTTAACCAATACTTCTATCTCTTGTACTGTACAGCAGAACATAAACGTGTTCTTGCTAAACACTTATTCGGGAAAGTAGTCTGATTAGAAAAGGGTAAAAAAAAAAAAAAGCACTTCAGAAATTCAGCAATCAGCACTTTACTATTAAATTAACAACAGCCAACTTTCTCAAATATGCTAAAGAACATGCAATATGAGGTTTTGTCAGAATTCCAAGACTGAACATTGACTATTAGCTCACAACATACCAAGCCATTATTCAGGTATGAGTGCTGAATGAGGGTGTCACCCATCTCCTCTGGCCTTAAATTTCATCAAATTAAAGGTAGGAGGTGGGGATAAATTAAAAGAAAAATGGAGACTAGCTGACCTTATAAATTTAAGAAAGTCTCAAAGGCAGCATACTGGCCTTAAGTGAAATTATTTGTCATTTTTATCATCTTTACAAAAAGCCTACTTCAATCCCCATCTTTACTTCCTTATGGTGCAAATCCCTCTATCCTGCTTCTGACAATTTCTTCTCACCAATGTGTGCCACTCTTGTCCATAAAACTGTAACAGAAATTGCTCTTCTCTAGAAATATTTTCTTAACTTACCTCACCCAGTCTTTACTTTACTCTCCATTTATGTACTATTTAGAGTCATTATGTATATTTAATGATTTTTTTATATTATTAATGGAGCTATGAAACCTTTCTAGATATTCACATCTTATCAATTTCATTATGAAATCCTTGATAAACACATCCATGGTTTCACATTTTTTCTCCATTCTTCCAGAATGCCTATGGCTGAGTTCCCATCATATCAGCACCAATGTATGTTTCTGAAAGTTGTGGATTCTCAAGTGGTAAAAAGTTAGTATAGAATTAGCAAATAAACGCAATACTAGGCTGAATCAGCAAGAAAGAGAAGGTTGAAGACCAAGTCAAAACTATAGAGACATGTGCTCAGACTGGACTTTCTGAGGAACTCAGCCCATTGTAAGTATGGACTTTTCACTAACTCATTTTTCATTTTGAGAATTGGCCTGAATAGAGTGTTATATCTTAAGATAGTATAATAAAAATATAGAAGAAAATAAATGATCATGTGAGTCCTTTGTTCCTAAAGCTTTAAGAAACATAGAAAAAAGAAAATGGTATTTTGAAATTAAAGAATTATATTCCTACGAAAATGATTTTTAAATTGTATACACCTATCATTTTATCATATAATTTTTAAATTAGAGAGAATTTAAGTTTGGGGGAGGAGGAATAAGCAAATAATAGTGTTAAAATAAAACATGACTGTGGAAAAATCTTGTAATTGAGTTTTATGGTTTGAAGCTTGTACTTAGTCTTCAATTATTATATGCATCTACTATTCAAATTTGTATTGGAAATTCCTATAAAATAGGAACAATGTAAAAGTAGTTTTGTACTGGTTTAGTAAATGGTTTGTAATGGATGAAGAGAAAAAAAAACATGTAAATCAATGTTAATTATCCTCAATAAATATTTACTTAAGTCTACCCCATTAAAAACATCTTAATGTACTAGTAGTTAATATTCACTGAGGGTCTACTATGGGCTAAGAACTTACATATATCATTTTATTTTAAGCCTCACAATGATTCAACAAGATGAATATACCATCATATTTTAACAGGTATTTAGAGTGTCAAAGGCTTTCAAAGAAGTTAAGTAATTTGGTCAAGTTCAAATATCTGGAGAAGCAAAGAATTGAGCCGATTCAATTTAAATTCTAAAGTTTAACATCTTCATAATTTACCAAGTCATCTGCCACAGTTGAGGGCCATCAACAATGAGAAAGAGAGATGCATAATTTACCCATAGAGCCCACATTAACTGTGTATACGGCTAGGAGAAATAAGATTTTTCTTTTCAGTTCTTACTACCAAAATATTAATACAATTTTACTTACAGTAAATAAAAATGATGTCATAATTATTTTCTTTTGATCATTGCTCTCCAAATTTAAAATTATTTCTAACTTGTTTCAATTTTTAATTTTCTTACAAATAAATCTAATGACTTAATATTTTTAAAGTTCAAGTAAATTTAATTAATTACTTAAAACAATTTTTCAAAGCAACATTAACGAAGAAATTAGTATAAAGAGATACCTGGATTTCACCTAACAAAACACATTTCCCCTTTCAAAAGCTACTTTAGAAATGCTTACAAAATAAACACCATTATTTTCATTGTTCAAAGTTCTACTTCTTGTTTCTTCCTTGCTTTTAACCTCTGATGAACTGAGAGACTAGCCAATACATCTGGAATGAATGATTCATGTGGTGAAGCAGAGGCAACTTCTGCTTAGACATGTGTGGTTTATCAATTTCCATGTCCCTCCATTAAATTCTGCAATTCCCATGTCAGGCATTTCTGCTTGAGAAAGAGATGCTTGTTTATAATCTCATTCTCTTGTAGGAAAATATATTCAAACTTTGGTTCCATAATTTAAACAAACAAATAAACAGCAACAACAACAACAAAAAAAAAACCCCTAAAACATTTTTGCTTTTTGTTTGTTTCTGTTTTTTGGTATCAGGATTGAACCCAGGGGCACTTAACCACTGAGCCACATTACCAGTCCTTTTTACTTTTTATTTTGAGACAAGGTCTCTCCAAATTGCTGCAACTGGGCTTGATCTTACAATCCTGCTTCAGACTCCTTAGCCACTGGGATTACAGGCTTGTACCACTATGCAGGTCACCTCAAGTGTTTTTATAAATTCTTCCATGACTCAACTCCATGCTGTGCTCTGAGATAAAATCAGCATTCCTACCAGTACAAAAATTTGAAGAAACTCATGTCTAAACTAGCCTACTTTTTGCCTTATTTCGGCTAGACTGTGGAAATATGGCATAGTAAAATGAGCCAGGATATGAGCAGGACCTGGATGTGAACCTGTAGAAATCCAATGAATACCTTCAATTCTGAACACCCTTCATGGTGTTATCTACAATGATGGGGTAATAATACCTACAGAGATAGGGAAGAGCAAATATTATAACATAAAAAATTCTCGACATATAATAAGCCATTAGTTACTTTCACCTAAAAAAATATGAAATTTTTGAATAAACCCATTTAAATAAGACATTGTGGAAATCAAGTTTTTTATGCAAAATGTTATACTAACCAGGCAATGAAACTGAAAGTATTGTTTAATGGAAGTATCTGTTTTATTATTTGTTCTGACTACTGTAATTCTAATTACTAATACAGCTTTCAACATGTGTTCAATATTCTTTCCACAGTGCCCATCTCCAATAGTATTCTGAAATTCTTTGTAATATAGCTGTGTGACTGGTCACCTCAACCACAATTTGGGTAATCTCATTCTGTACTTATAAAAATCAAGGGCATCCCTTAAGCAAACAATTTACACTTGCCAGCAGAGAGTAGTATTATGCTAACTTGGTATCATTGTCAAATAAGAAGTAAAACCACTGGGGAAGAAAAAAAATAGGAAAGTAAGAGCTTTTTAAGGATAACTTCTCTTTTACTCATATAAACTTAATTAGGACTTGCAATTAATTTTTGAAATTCTTCTATGTTGACCTCGAGGTTTAAAGCTTCATTTCTGCAGAGGGGCCCCATCAGTAATCCACACATCTCCCTGCTAGGGAAGCAGCTGGCTTTTTAACTGTGATGTCTTGTAGTTCTTATTTACAATCCTAATCACATCATTGATTTCAGTAATCTTTCAGAGTGGTTATTAATGCTGTCAAAAGAAAAAAACTGGTGTTCAATATGGTTTTTTTCTTTCTTTTTTTTCTTTTTTCTTTTTTTTATAAAAACTGAATAATTAAGTTTAAGCCCAATAATAATTCTAAGGCCCTCTGGGTGATTAGCAGTATCCCATTGTTGAGTATGCAACACAGAAAAGCACCACCCAATACCTTCACTTAAAATTGTACATGCCTTCAAAAAATATACCCACTCTACAAGCCACAGATGGTTAAATAAAAATGCTAGAAGAAGCCACTCTTTATAATTCAAAGGTAACTAGATTTTTATATTTTTCCAACTCAAAACATTGGAATCACATAAACTTTTATCTGATTGATTTTTTTCCCCTGTAACTTATGACAGCCCACAGAATCTATTTTGTCCACTAAGATAAAAGAAAAAAAAACCACTTAGGTGAAACTGACCTTTTTATTAACCCAAGTGTGTCTCTAATACACTAAAAAATAAAATAATATTCTGAAAAAAAAGTTGGGCTAAAAAAATATGAAGAGGTTAAGAGACATTTTGGGGACATATGATTTTTCAATATCCAAAGCAAGAGAAGAAAAGGGTAAAATGAGGTAATGCATTATGGTTTTCAGAAAAAGAGGTCATGAGGCAATAAAGATTGTCATACTAAATCATATCTATTTATTTGCATTCTGAAAGATGATGTGGAACAGCTGAAGTTTTTTCAAAAACTATTTACTACCAAAAACCCAATATATAAAGCACTGGGCAAATATAATGTATGTTCTATTTTCATTATACACCCACCCCCAAATCACAGGGAGGGAAATATATATATATATATATATATATATATATATATATATATAGGAAACCCATAAAAGAAAGCAGGCGGTAGCAGGAAGAGCCTGAGCCCAGAAGCTGCAGACACTGCCTGGCCCAGGAGGGAGGGAAATATATATATATATATCCCAGGTGAAAGGAGATTAGGGGAAGGGT